TAGAACCATAGAGGCTATATATATATACCATGGAGGTCCCTAGGACGACTGTGGCTTATAATAAATTTTGGTTTTACTCAATTATTGAAAAACAACAGCCAAATGAATGGAAACACATGAACTATGAACCAAAGGCTGAGGGGCCCCCAACTGGATCAGGCCCTCTGAATAGGTGAGACAATTGATTGGCTTGATCAGTTTGGGAGGCAACTAGGCAGTGGAACCAAGTCCTGTGCTCATTGCATGAGTTGGCTGTTTGAAACCTGGAGCTTATGCAGGGACACTTGGCTCAGTCTGGGAGGAAGGGACTGGACCTGCCTGCACTGAGTCTATCAGGTTGATCGCAGTCCTCGGGGGAGGATTTGCCCTGGAGGAGGTGGGAATGGGGGGTAGGCTAGGAGGGAGGGGAAGGGTGTGGGAGGGGGGGAGAATAGGGGAACCCGTGGCTGATATGTAGAACTGAATGGTATTGTAAAATAAAATAAATAAAAAAAAAACAAAAAAAAAACCCACAAAAACAAACAAACAAAAAAGTCAGGTGTTATTCTGATGAGTCTGCTTTTATATGTTACTTGGCCTTTTTTTTTGCAGCTCCTAATATTTTTTCTTTATTCTGTATGTTTAGTGGTTTGATTATTATGTGGCAAGGGGACTTTTTTTGGGGGGGAGGGAATCAAGTCTATTTGTTGTTCTGTAAGCTTCTTGTATCTTTATAGGCATTTCCTTCTTTAGGTTCAGAAAATTTTCTTCTATGATTTTGTTTAATATATTTTCTGTGCCTTTGAGTAGGTATTCTTCTTCTATCCCTATTATTTTTATGTTTGGTCTTTTCATGGTGTCCCAAACCTCCTGGACGTTTTGTATTATGACTTTTGTGTGTTTTCTTTGACTGACGAATCTATTTCCTCTATTGTATCTTCAATGCCAGAGATTCTCTCTTCCATCTCTTGCATTGTGTTGGTTATGTTTGCATTTGTACTTCCTGTTCATTTACTCAGCTTTTCCATTTGCAGCATTCCCTCATTTTGTGTCTTCTTTATTGTCTTGATTTCAGTTTTCAAATCTTGAACTGTTTCCTTCACCTGTTTAATTGCTTTTTCATGGTTTTCTTGGCATTCTTTAAGGAATTTATTGATTTTGTTTATTTTTTTGTTTGTCTTTTCCTCAGTTTCTTTAAGGGAATTTTTCATTTCCTCTTTAAAGGCTTCTGTCATCTCCTTAAAGTAATTTTTAAGGTCAATTTCTTCTGTTTCTTTTGTGCTGGGATGTTCAGGTCTTGCTGATGTAGAGCCAGTAGGTTCTGATGGATCCATATTTGTCTTTATGTTGTTGACTGTATTTTTGCACTGGCATCTATCCATCTCTTTCTCCACTCCGTGCAAGTGGTTCTGTGTCTGAGGGAGCCTCTCTTGGTCCACTTGATACTTTTTGTCCAACGGGAGCTCTTGGTCTAATTAGGGATCTTGGTCTAATCAGTGCTGGATGGACTCTGTGTCTCAGGGAGCAGCTCTTAGTCTAATCGGTGCTGGGGGACTCTGTCTCAGGGAGCAGTTGCAGTTTCTGAGGGAGGGTAAGGTTTGTGGGAGGTGGGGCTTGAAGGTTACAGGGTCTGGTGGGGGATGGTAGTATTCTGACTTGTCTGCAGGTGACCTGCCTACTGACCTTAAACTGGGACTGCAATGGTAGGTGGTGTGGGGGTACAGGGTTGTTCCCCTGGGCCCAAAGTCTAGAGGCTGGGGTGTTTGGCAATGAGCACAAAGACTCCCCTCTTAGTCCAGTCAGTGCTCAAATTCAATTTTAAAAAGTGGTTGGTTACTCCCTTAACATTTGTGTCACTATCACACCAGTATACCTTGCAGGGAAGTCTTTGTTGTAGGTAAAGTGCTTCATAGCAGAGTGAGGATGTAGTGCTAATCCTAATTGGTCTTAATAAAATACCCAGAGGTGGATATAGGAGTAAATGTTGAAAGATCAGAGAGACAAATCCAGAAGCCACAGTCACCACCTCTTACTTGGCCAACTCCTCAGGTTGAAAGAGAGTGAGCTCCTGTCTCCTCCCACCTTATATTCCCCTCTCTACCAAACCATATCACTTCCTGTCTCCATCTTATTATAACTAATATAAGAAAAACTATATACAAAATACAATAACTATATGCAATATATACAGGCAATAAATATATCAACAATGTCTAGGCCATTTGCATTTGACAAATTCAGAGAAAATACTCCATTATCTATCCTCTCTTTGAGTCCAAAGTCTTTTACCTAATTTGCTTTCTATCTTAACTTGCATCACCATCTACTTTACTATCTTTTGGTGTCTCTCAACCTTATACATTTTACACCTCTTAGTGAGTTTTTTTTCTGAGTCTCATAAACAAAGAAAACTATAACTATATAACTATCTAGTCTTCCACTCCCTCAGAGATTTGAGAAGGAAATAATATTTACTGAGCAAGCAGGAAGTGCAAGCAAGTGACTTCAAAAAATGTGAGAAATGATAAAAACAACTGACTGCCTATTCAGTCACACAAGGCTCCTCTGTAATGTTGGGGCACCCATCTTCAGGCTACTGGCCTAGAATATCTGACAGACTTATCTGTGAAGTAGGATTATCTGAAGGGCTGTCCTACCATGTCCTGGCAAAGTTCAGCAGTCCTTTCTTTTGTGTCCTGCTTGTCCCATTTGAACAGCATATTGTCAGCAGTCAAGGCAAGGGCATTTTCTTGCCCAGTGACTAACTTTTGCCACAAAGAAAGTAAACTCCATATGGAGTTTCTTTAATGCCCATCATCTTCTCTGAAGTAGATTGGTGCTGCCAGGAGCAGACATGTCTCATTGTCATAAAAAAGCTTATGCTATTTAAACACCTTAAATACCATATTTTATAGATCTCTGAAGTGTTTGAAGATGACCTGTCTAGCTAAAATATATCTGTTCGTCCTTGAAAACATACCTAATATGACTACAAGTTCAATTGTAATAGGTGACTGATTGTTAACCTGCATTTCTTTATATCCTAATTAGTTGGTAATAATAACTTTCAAGGACTAGCAATTTGCATTACATTGTTAAATTAGCTGAACAGGTACAATACCTTGAACAAGATTAGAAATGTGTGTACAGTATGTTCTAAAAAATAATCTCAACTTTGTATCAATATACAAAGATCCACATCAATGTAAAATATTTAAAACAAGTAGTTGCTTTTTTAAAAGTAGAGTCAATAATCTACTCTTTTATCCTATCAGTTCTATATCTCCATTTTTCTTTTCAGAACAAGAACTCTGAAATTTATAATTTAATATTAAGCCCCCAAGTCAATTATTTGGGAAGTGGCTGCTGGGTATTTGGGAACGGGCAGACAGGAGAGAAACTTCCACCTACAGAGAGTGGTGGTTAATTTTCTCTTCTGGTAGTATGCAAAGGAACTTCTAGCACTATGGCTACTAGTCAGGAGGGGTAAAGCTTCTAGTTGGGCACAGGCTTGATTTCTCCATATTCAATAATGTAAGTAAGTGGTGTCTTTAGCAATTGGGCCTTACCTTCAGGTTGAAGAGGGCAAACAATGCCACTATTAATAGATTGTAATTTTGGAGGGAGTCTAGGGAACCTTTAAGGCCAACAACTCAAAAAGAAGTTGTTCTTATGCTGGAAGTTTTACTTGTAGCAGATGATGTTCAGTTGGGATATTGTCTGCACCATATGGTAACTTCATTTATATTCCTTTTATATATTTTAAAAAGAGTCTAAAGTAGTAAGTTAACAAACATGTGGGTTTTTAAAAGGCCAGTAGTGTTAGTTATCACTCTCCATCTTCCCTCTTTTACTATGGCTTCCGATCCTTCTCCCCATTTAATCCTCATAATCTAGTTTCCCTTTTATCTCTTTATAACACTATATTCTATTTCCCCTTCCTTTGAAGACTCCCTCTTTAACTCTGGTCCTTTATGAGCTAATAAACTCTGTGGATATTCTAAATGAAACACACATATTTATAGATTAAAAGCTAATATGCACAGAGAAGAGAAAATATGTCTTTAAGCTCTGGGTTACTTCACTCAAAATGATTGTTTTTAGTTTCATCCATTTACCTGCAAATTTAGTTTTTCTTAACAGATGAATAATATTCCATTGTGTAAATGTATCACACTTCCATTTTCATTCATCACTTTTTAGGCATCTAAGCCCTTTACAATTTCTGACTATTATGAATAGAGGAACAATGGACACGAATGAACAAGTATTTTTGTAGGAAGATGTAAAATCTTTTAGGTACAGGCCCAATAATTGTATACCTGAATCTTGTGGCAGATCTATTCTGATTTTTTGAGACTCCTCCACACTGATGTCCATAGTGGCTTTACTGGTTTTCACACCCACAAGCAATGAATATGTGTTCCCCTTTCCCTAAAACCTCACAAACACCTGCTGTAATTTGTTTTTATTAATCTTGGCCATTCTGATTGAGGTAACATGAAATTACAAAGAAATTTTAATTTTCATTCTCCTAATGGCTAAGGATGTTGAACAATTTTAAAATTGTTTCTTAAGACATTTTTATTTCATCTTCTGTGAACTCTCTATTTAGTTTTATATCCTATTTTTAAATTGTATTTTTGTTTTCTTGATGTCCAGGTTTTTTTAGTTCTTTGTATATTCTAGATACTAACCCTCTGTCAGATGTATAATTGATAAAGATTTTTCCCATTCTGTAGGCTGCTCCTTTGCTCAAATTGTGGTGTCTCTTGATGTACAGAAGCTTTTTGGTTAGTCTTAATGCCAGTGTTATTAGGGTCCTGTTCAGAATGGCTTTTCCAAGGCAACACCTACCAGAAAACCAGGTAGGCTGCCTGCAGACCTTCTCCACTCTCTCTGTTACCATAGACCCAATCCTCAGGGTTGCCCCTAGTTCTGCAACAGACTATCTCCCCCTGGCTTCCCCTTTCCCCAGTCTCCAACACCAGCAAGTATTACCCATGAACACACCCGCTGAGCAGGCCAGAAAAACAGGCAACACACAGCCAACACACTCTCTGAAGATCCAGATAAGAAACAGAAACCAATACCAGCAACACCAAAAGAGGGGAAACACACACACACATACACTGTTGCTGGATCCTAATGGCTCCCTCAGGGGAGAAGGGGAGAAGGCATCAATGACACAGATACTGGGAGTCAGTTGAAGGCAAACAGCAGACTCATTTATTCAATAATGGAAAAGGCTTTATATACCCTCCTCCCAGCACCCCAGTCTGTGATGCAATCTGGTGGCATGGCACAGTTGTCCCTCATTGGCTGGGCATGATCAGGAACTCTAACAGCACCTGTTGCTAGGCCCTCAGGCAGACTGCATGTTGGCTCATAAGGAAGTATGTTATGTGCTTTTCTTGGCAATTGGTTTGAGTCAATTTCCTCGACCCTAAGGGCCTGTCCTACTATAATACATCACCAACAACACCAACAATACCAACATCAACAAATAACAGGAATTAACAATCATTTCTCATTGATACCTCTCAATATCAGTAGCTTCAATTACCCAATACAAAGACAGACTAACAGAATGGATGTGAAAACAGGATCCATCCTTCTGCTATATATAAGAAACACACCTAAACATCAAGGATAGACATTAACTCAGGGTAAAGGGTTGGAAAAAGATATTCCAAGCAAATGGACCTAAGAAGCAAGCTGGTATAAATATTCTAATATCTAACAAAACAGACTTCAAAACAAAATCAATCAAAAGAGATGGGGAAGGATATTACATACTCATCAAAGAAAAACTCCGGTTGAGAAGTTGGCAAGGTAAGGCTAGCTGTGGCTTGTTCTGTTTCTCTGATCCTTCAGTGTTCTCCTCAATACCTAGCTCCAGGTTTGTTTTTATTATTAAGACCTTTAGAGATTCATGTTACATCTGGTGCTCAACTTGTTGGGTATAAATCCACAAAAAAGTCACTTGCCTGTGGCCTTGCATTCCCCAGCTCAGGCCCAAGCTGCATGAGGCCAGTTGTGGTGGCACACAAGGTAGGATTTGCTGAAGGAGGTAGAGGCAGGAGGATCCCGAGTTTGAAGCCAATCTAAGAGGCTTGCTGAGGAGAAGCTGCAGCTGGGGTCGGGCCAGACCACAAACAGTAGCAGAGGGACCATGGAGGTGGCTCTGCATTGACAGCTGCTTTTCATTATGTTGGTGGTGGCGGCGGTGCTGCTACTGGAGATGAAGGGTTTACCACTGCTTGTTCAGAGAAGAATTGCCAGTACAATCATGTTACAAGAAAGCATCGGCAAAGATCAGTTTGGAGAAGTTTGCCGAGACAAATATTGGGGAAAAGAAGTTGCTATGAAGATATTCTATTCTAGGGAAGACCATTCATGGTTCTGAGAGGCAGACATTTATCAGACTGTGATTACTCCAAACTACAGAAGAGGCAGAAAAAAAATTCTGCAAGGACCCAGGACCATGCCTAACAGCAACTTCAAAATCTTCAAAAAGATGATGGGATCCCACAATGACAACTCCACATGAACTATGATAAAGCTGTTAAGCTGATTAACACCACAGAAAGATCGACTTTGGACTATAAACTGCTCAGGACAATTTTGAGATGACTAGCTGAGATGATCCAGATTCACAGACTACTCAATCAAGGACTTGAGACAAGCCCTGACTTTCCCATTATGCAGATACTGGACAAATGATACAACTAACTCTCAGGACTTGACAATTAACACAAAAATTTTCTTTTCAGGATCCCCTAAAGATGTCTTTGCTCCCAGAAAGCAGGACATAATTTTAAGAACAGGACGCCCACATTCCCAAGAGGTGGGGTGGGGCAGGTGGTTTTTGGTTTTTCAATGGGTTTCAGGTTTGGGATAGTTGTCATTGTTTAAGAGGGTTGATTACAAGTGGTTGTTGTTAATGGTCAGGAAAAGGGCTAAACAAAGGAGATTAGATTTAAGGTTCTTGTTTGAAAAAAAAGGATATAGATAAGAGGTAGTGTGGTAATATTTTATTTGTGCTGAAATGTGATATTTTATTTGTATGTTAATAAATAAAGTTTTCCTGGGGATCAGAGGTCATAGTCAGCCATAAACAGAAGTCAGGCAGTGGTAGCACACACCTTTAATCCTATTACATGGCACTGTGTGTTCAAGGACACAGCCAAGTGGGATGACACATGCCTTTAATCCCAGTACCAAACATAGAGACCTGGAGGTCTGTATAGATAGGCAGTATCGAGAAAGTGATGTGGCTGGGCTTAGAGCCAATGAGAAGGCAGAACAGGAAGGCAATAAAGGCACAGGTTAGACAGGAAGAGGCTCTCTTGGGAAGCTACAGCCAGGTGGTAAGCTAAGGTTAGTTGGTGGCTATTACTCTGATCTCTACGGCTTGCACCTCTCTAAATTGGTTCTGTGTTTCTTATTTAATAGGACTGTTTAGAAATTCATCTACAATTGGTGCCCAACGTGACAAGAATTCTTTAAAAAAAAAAAAAAGGTGGCCTTACAGGCCAGGGGTTACAGGCCTCTGCTCAGCTGGAGTTTAAAGGCCCCCAGGCTCCGATGGAGCTACAAGGGATCCAGACTATATGCAGCCAGAGCTGAACTCAACTGTAGCTACAAGTGGTCTGGCTACATGCAGCTGAAGCTACTTGTGGCTAAATCTCCAACTCACATGACTGAAGCTTAAAGGGGCCTGAGCTACAAGCTGCTAGACTGCTTGTGGGTTTCCAGACCCCCTGGCTCAGGCCCAAAACAGTTCAGGCCGGAGCACATGGCTGGACTTTAGCTTTTAGCTTTTTTTCCTTCTCCTGGTAGGTAGTAGGCTCTCTCTCTCTCTCTCTCTCTCTCTCTCTCTCTCTCTCTCTCTCTCTCTCAATTCCAAACTCAGACTGCAACCACAATAGGTAGCTACTTTGAAATTTCCTTAGACTTCTATTCTATGCATACTTGGTAAGTCAATTAAAGTATCAGATATTTTAAAGGGAGAATCCAGTTAAAATAGAAGAAAAATTTTCCTGCATTAAAAAATGGGAAATATCTTTATAATGGAAGAAAATTGGTTTTTGTTTGATAACACAATAGGAAGTCTGAAAATGGAACAATTAAATGAGAGGATAATTAATGTTGGTGGGATGTATGTAACATCAATTATGCATATTATTTGCTTAATTATCCTTGTTTTAGCATTAAAAAGTTGGTTAATTTAAGTGCCAAGACAAAAGTTTTAGAAAAAACTATAAAAATGAATTATAGAGAAATTCCGACCCAAACAGAAGAATTTAAAGGTGAAATTATTTCAGAATTGAATTATAAGGTTAAAGAGAGACAGCCCATTTTCAAACAATCAAACTTAATTTTATCCAGTAGCCATATAGGAACTACCTGCTTAAGGGGGTGTACAAACTATTGGACTCCAGTTGAAATGTTAGGTTTGAGGAGATTTAAGGAAGCTATAGTATCCTATGGCATGCATTCTCCATTTGTAAAGCAAATGTTAAACTCGTGGTCAACTTGTAATAGGATTATTCCTCAGGACAATAAAGAATTAATAACAGCTGTCCTGGAACCTAGAGCACAATTGAAATGGTGAACTTGGTATAGATACGAGGCTAAGATGATAGAAAGTCAATGGAGAGCTAGAGGTGTGGACATTTACCAGGATCAGCTTTTTGGAGAAGGCCAATATGCTGAAATACAAATACAAAGTTTATATGATAACCAAAATGTAATTCTATGCCACATGGCAGCCATGAATGCATGGGACAGAACTGAGGAAGCAGGAAAGAGAATTGAATCATTCAAGAAAGTTGTATAGGGCCCGAAAGAATCCTTCATGGATTTCTTACAAAGGCTGTCTTCAGCAGTAAATAGAATGGTTCCAGATTCAGAAGCTAGACAGATAATAATTGAATCTTTGGCTTTTGATAACATGAATCCAGCATGTAAAAGAATAATCAGGCCATTAAGGGTAAGATCTGAACCCTTGGAGGATTGGATCAGAGACACAATTAATAGTGAGGCTCATGGCCATGAAGATATGTGGATAGGAGAAGCAATTTCAAAAAGTTTAAGGAATTTCAAATGTTTTGGGTGTGGAAAGCAAGGACATTTGAAAAGGGAATTTAAACAGGGCATTCCTAGAAAGAATGTTTATTGCAGGAACAATGGCAAGAGAATGCTCCTCCCTTCTGGATTATGCAGAAGGTGTGGTAACTGTAAACATTGGACCAACAAATGTAGATCAACAAGGGACAGACTAGGTAGTCCTTTGCCTCTGTCCTCAAGAAATGCCCAGAGGGGCCTCAGGCAGCCCCCCCCCAGCAAACTCAGTTCAGAACTTTCCTGCCATC